AAAATGAGCTATTTATTTAATTTAATAAATGCCCTTATCTAAAAGCACAATGGTCTATATATCTATAATAATAAAAAATTTCTAGGTAAATATTTTTTTGGGAATCGCCTTCCATATTAATAGTATTATTATTGATATAAACGTAAGAGACCATTTTAAAAGGTATTTTATTACTAAAAGTTTGATACCTAATTAATTTTACAACATATTTATGAGGGACACGACTTACCCTATAATTTACATTTAATAGGACGTTAAAAAAAGTTGAATTGTAGGTCTTTAGAGAAACAAGAAGCGATACTGCCAAGCAATTAATTTTGGCGAGAATTGAGTTGAAAAGTGACAGAAAATTCAGCACCAAGTTACCTTTATTAACATAATAAATCGTAGTCATTATAATACTTTTGAATTAATGATCTAAAAATGTAAGGAACTTAAAAGGATATCTTTTCTTTTGGGTCTTTAATTAATTGGCTTCTACAAAAGCTTTCACAGTGACAAATGTAATTATAATTCTAATAATGAAATATTAATGAGATCATTGTGAAGAAATGGGAATACATGTACATATAGTAAGTATATACGTAATATTTATTTATTGATAATTCATTTAATAGCACGTTTCAAAATTATCTGGCGGATATACTAAAAAAGCGTGTGAAACGGTGATGAAGCAAATGTTATTTTAACCTATGATGTTTAAGACTTATAATATAATACAACATAAGATAGTAATATAAGACAATGCCATTTCATATTTCTATGTATATAAAAATTAATAATTACTTACATATTTCTCAATATAGCAATAAATTCGCGTCAGAAATATCTCAAAATAGAATGCAAATTCAATCTCGCGTGATGAATGAAACATCTGCACATTATATAGTAGCCTATACATCACCCTGACCCAACCGGATTCGAGAAGAAATGATACCTACGGAATGGATAGAGTGGTGTGAAGGAAAGTAAAATTAGACTGGTTTACGCATAATCAATGATTAAAAGAACTTAACTTTAATAAAGTGAAGTCTATCATAATTATGCAAGGTGCTTTGTCCGAAGAGATTAGTTATTGGAACTTATTAAACACATGAAGTATCACGTCTAGTATTCACCACTCGCACTATAGTTGAGAATCTAAAATTTTTTTAACTTCCCTTCTTTCCCCTTCTTCCTCAGGTCACGGGATTGGGAAGAATTCCACTCCGCGTACTATCCATAGATTCTGCCCTCGATATGTCATTCATTTAGAGCTGAACACAAAAATTTTGATGTTTCCTGGATAATTGGGTACCAGAAGGGCAGGCGAGAGTGAGCCACTAATCTACAGCCACATCTCGTATAATTATGATAGAACTTCACTTAGGGTAAGTTTGTTCAATCATTAATTATACTGCGTGCTTCGTCCTCTCAATTATTAACTGGAACTTATTAAACACATGTAGATGGGTGTTATTCACGAAAATTGTACATTTACTACTCTCTCCGCGTCCAGCTCGCTTATTTTTTATTTGCTGTTTCAATATTAGCAAAATTTTATTTACCCTAATTCTAAAAGTGTAGAACTACAATTTATAATACTCAGTAAAATTATCGAAACTAAAATATATTCCAATATTTCAAATTTTCAAACTGTGCCCACAGAAATTTCATACATAAATTCATGGTCCATCTTTACTTAAGATAACATTAAAAATTTATTTAAAAAAATCGAATTAGTTTAGAATACAACTTAAAAGTTTTTTGGTATGGTTATCCATTAAAATACATTATTCTATGAAATAAATAAAACAAACAGTAATGTATACATAATATTTACATATTTAAATGAATGTCCAATATTATACTCATCTCTGTTTTTCTTCTCGGTTACAGTGTTTTACAACATTATTACTAACTTGGAAATAAAATTATTTACTGGCAACATTACACAACAAACACTGTAAACAGGTGACGTGACTGTCGATTCGGCCATTTGTTCTTTCACTCAGTGCCATCAATATTGTGTGTAACATTCGACATTCGACATTTATTTGTGATATTCATTTTTGTGGTGTATTTAAATTCAGTAAGTATTTTCAAGGTTTTATATTATTATGAGAAAAGGATCGTGGTTGCGGAAGAGAAATCGGTAGAAGGAATTTGTCAAAACTAATTGATGACGTTACCACAAAGTTTTTTGTAGTTTAGACACGTGCTAAGTTTTCATATACGGTATTTCTCCGTTACGCTTCTCTGTTACATAACAGATATGAATAGGTAAAGCTGCGTATATATAGCAAATTTAATTGTTCAATAGAAAATTGCTAACCTATTTATTTTAAAATGTGGGTCATCTATTTATAAAGGTTTCAATTTATGCGGATATTAATATATTTGTAGATTATTGAGTTACAAAGTAATCATCAGTAAGTTATCAAATATTTTTAATATCTACTTATGTACTTCAAACTTCATAACATACGAATCTTGCATTGGTGCTGAGTTTCTGAAGATGTCACTAATGTTACACAGTGGAATTAGATACAACTGATAGATAAGCAGGAAATTGACTATTTACGGAAAAACTTTTCATTGTTTTAGAATTGATCGTTGAATCAATCTTAAAACTATGAAAAGTTGACTTTAGTAAATGCAGTTTTTAAAAACTAGAGGAATATCTAATATTACATATATGCTCCCATATCAATGATATACCATTTCATTTTCTCTTAAAACCGGATGATAACAATTTTAATCAATAATGTTCAGATTAATTATTATAGTTACTTTTCATTTTTAATGTAAAATGGCATGATAGATATTTTACATTTTTAGATAAATTGTTGTATAGAGCGGGATTTAAAAAAAAGTATGTATAATAAAAATACAGGTAATGTTTACTTTTGTTTTAGATAAAATGCCATTGACATCAGCAGAGCGACAAAAAAAGATATAGAGAACGTTTAAAGCAAAATAATCCTATTAAATGGAATGAAGAAAAGAAAAAAGATGCTGAGAAAAAAAGAAGAAATTATAAAAAAGATTTCTGAGTTATCAGAGACCGAAAAAGTTATAAGACGTAAAATTTGGCGGCAACTGAAACAAAAACAGTTGAATCACAATGACAAAACAGACAAAAACTCTAGTCGTAAAATATATAAAGAAAGATATTACAGAATTACCAAAGAAAATAAAAAGCAAAAAAAGAAAAATAGATATATTGAAAAAGCATGTAGATTCTCTAAGAAAAAGAGTTTATAGATACAAATTGTTATTGACATGTCAGCAAAATTATAGAGATGACTGTAAAGAAAATGTTGAACCTTCATTACCAACAACGCCAACTTCTTCAATATTAAAAACTGAGTCCTTCATTCAGCAGTTAAAAGATGTACCTTCACCAGAAAAAGATAAAATAAGAAAAGTTATACTCGAAAAGAACATATTGAGCGAATGTTTAACAAACTCATACAAGAATGCTAAAAGTAACGCTGAAAGAAATATTTTAAAAAATGTAGTCAGCAATGCTGTGGTTCAAGAACATAAAATGAAAACTAGATTGGGTTACTGTATTGGTTTAAAAGGTCGGCCTCGTAATACAATAACACAAGAAAATACCAAACATGCAGTGTTTGCCAGCATAATACGAGATTTCTATTTACAAGATGATGTATCTCGAACAACTGCTGGGAAGAAAGAGACAAAGACCCTAAAAAAATTGAAGATACAAAAAAGATATCTACTTGACAACGTAACTAATTTATATAACAAGTTTAAACAAGATACAGGAATTAATTTGTCTTACACGACATTTTTAAGAAATAAGCCCTTTTATGTAGTCAGGCCAAAACTTTCAGACCGCGATACATGCGTGTGCAAGAAGCATTCAAATATTGAATTAAAATTTGCCACCCTCAAAAAATTATCAGTTCTAATTGGACATAAAAGTATAAACGATCTGGTTAAATCTTTAGTTTGCAATTCAAACTCTCAGAAATGTATGTATGGGCAATGTACAATCTGTAAAGTTAAAAAAATAACATATGATTTAACTACAATTACACTTGATGAAAATGTTACATGGCTGGAGTGGTCTATTAAAAAAAGTAGAATATAAAAAGAATAAGTTAATAAAGAAATGTAAACGAAATGTAAAAGAAATTAAGACTGGCGCTTTAAAAGATTTAGTGACTAAATTTGAACGAGACCTACAGGATTTTAATATTCATTTATACAATATCAGCCATCAATACAAAATGTATAAAGATATGAAGGATAATCTTAAAACTAATGAAATTCTCTTACATTGTGATTTTTCGGAGAATTTTTCTTGTAAAATGTTTCAAGAGATCCAAGCCGTTCACTTTGGGGCCTCTCAATATCAGATATCTTTGCATACGAGTATGATATACCAAAAAAATAAAAAACCACAGAGTTACTGTACTTTATCAGATGCAACTGACCATTCGCCAGAAGCAATATGGGTATAATATAATATAACAAGCAAATGGTGGTATAATATAATATAACATTTAAAACCTATTTTAACCCACATAATTAAACAATCACCAGAAATTGACACACTACACGTTTTTTCCGATGGGCCAACGACACAGTACCGGCAAAAGAAAAACTTTTTTTTATTTAATACAATCATGAAAGATTTTGGTTTAACTGGGACATGGAATTTTTTTGAAGCCGCCCATGGAAAGGGTGCTGCCGATGGCGTTGGTGGTGTTATTAAAAGGCTTTTAGACAGTAAAGTGGCACATGGCAGTGACGTCCTCAACGCCGAATCTGCATATAATCTTTTAAAAAAAGAAACCAGCGTTAAACTTTTCTGCATTGATGAAGAGGACATAAACAGTATTAAGGAAGATTATAAGGCATCTTTGATATCGCTTATACCTGTCCCCAATAATATGAAAATACATCAAATACAAACTATAAATCATTCACACAATATTGCGTCAAGAATTTTAAGCTGTTTCTGTGCTCGTTCACCCAAAAGGGGAATGTGTGATTGTTATTTACTAAAGAATCATAACTTACTAAAACCTACAAAACGTGCAAAAAGGCTTCCATCAACATCTTCTGAATCAAGTGATCTCCCTGTTGATGAAGAAATTGTACCCGATAAACGTATTTTGTCAATAAAATCTAATAGAACACAAAATTCACAAGTAACTATTCTCTCCGATATTAAAGTTAATTATAACCGAGAAACATTGCAAAATCTAATAGGATCTTCAAAATCTTATAACATAGCTACAAATGATATACGAAAAGATTTTAAGGAGCTGATCACGCCAGATGAATTATTACCTTCTGTTTCTAATACCGACGGTAAAATAGGTGTCTTAAAGAAAACTCAAGACAAACGTCTTAATAATTTCTTTTTTCATTTATCTGATGATAGTGAAGATAGTTTCTAATACACATTTTTGTACACAACAAAATAAATAATAATTATGCTAATTTTGTGGTGTTGTATTTCATGCCACGACTATGGAAATTTCTTATATATTTCGAGGCTATACAAAAGTTTAGAATACTTATTCTAAACTATTGTATAGCATATTGTATGCATCACTTTTTAACGCAATATTTTAATAAAAATACAAAATCGCATTACGATGTCGTTTAAGTTAACTTTTATGTTTCAAAGAAGGGTGTTATGTTCCTATATTGTTGTTATTGATTAATGTCACCATAAAGTTTCAAACCGGGATATTAATTATTTTTTGCCACTCCATATCAAGTGATTACTCAAAATTACTTTCCTAAATTAATTGTAATAAAGCAATTTTAAAAGTATTAAATTACTTTTTCTTACAATCATAAATCATAATCACGTTTTCTGCAAATTAACATCAATTTATTGTATAGGAAAGTAATTTTAAAAATAGTTATTATTTTGATATAATAATATAATATACAACCTTCAATTATCTATGCATAAATGATCTTTTTTGTCTGTTTACTTCTATTAAAATTACTGATAATCAAAACAGCTTTTTATTAATCTCCTGGATAAAATGAATGACCATCTTTTAAATAATACTTATATTTAAATTTATGCATGTTATGTACTAGTCTTTACAATTCCTATATGTTATCATTTCTGTTACATTAAATTTATTTTCATATCTTTTTTCATATCCGTAACGTACAATTATTATGAATAACACCCAGATATTGAGAGCGAGAACAGGAAATATCAAAACCCTAAGGAGGGTAAAACTGTTTTGTATTTACAGGCCATCAAATACTTGATATAAACGTGCTCGGTATTATTGGTACTATATTTTACAAACTTATTAGCTTACTATTTTATAAACATATTACAAAGATAAAAAAAATTAAGCAAAGTTAGCTTCGTTTACCCTGAAAATAAATTTGAGTTAACAAACGATAAAAAAATATTTTGCTAAGAAACAATCTTTATGAATAATTTAAAAAAAAATATAACCTCCCCTCACAAGAGGGTAGACAGGTCCAGAAGACGTTTTTGACAATTAGCATTTTAAAATTTGTATGAACCTTCACATAAAACTTAAGCTTATGTAATTTTTTTGATTTATTCTATTTGATTATAAATTCGAAATGTAACATTTTGTTTTAACAATTTATTGGTTAATATGTGGTATTGTTCAAATGTATATTGAAAATGCCAGAAAACAGTAATTTTTATTATTCCCTCACGTTTATTTGAAAATAAAAAAAATCTCGTAGTAACTCAAGGGCTAAGCGCTTGTCGTAAATTTCATTGAATGCGAGCAACTCGACTTTGATCTCCACCGGCACGACTGAAACCGTTCAATTTTATGTGCTTATTTAATAGGTGCTTGGCTTTGAAGAAAAAAATCGTAAGGAGATATTAAACGTCTAAGAATTGGAATATTTTCGAGAACCTGTGAAGTCGGCCTGCAAACATAGATGAGCGTGTGCCTAGCAGAAATACGTATTTAGATAGTAACTTTACAACAAATCTTCTCGTTACATATATTTTAAAACTTAAATACCAGTGTTGAAGTTAGGGTTGACATAAGATTTTAAGAGGTGGCTCTTTACTCTTGGCCGAATAAGGAATGTCAATGTCAACTCAACGAGCTACAGAGAAGGCTATGCTCGGAATTTCGTAGTAAATAGAACCAGAGTAACCGACATATCCCAACGGATCAGTAAGCTAAAGTGGCCATGGAATGGCTATACAGCTCGAATAACTGACAATCGATGGGGAAGAAAGATTCTCAAGGTGCAGCCTCGTACTGGTGACATAAGTGTAAGGTGGCTCCTCAATTATACAGAGTGATGTCCTGATAATGATCTTGTACGATTATCATTCTATTCGCAATGATAAAATCTATGTGCCCAAGCAAATAAGTGCCCGAAACGATAGATCAACCAGAAGAACCTTATGGTGACATGTTTGCGGTCTTCTGTTGATGTTATTCTCTATAGCTCTACGATCAATAGTAATTGTTGGCAATACACACATGGCACTACACACATGGCACTAAACACATGGCGCTACATACAACCACCCAAACTTTTGAAATAAAACTCAAAATGATATTAATTCAATATTTATTTATTTATTTATTTAAGGACTTTATTACACTTAAAATGTACAATTGGCGGACTAAATGCCTTTAGGCATTCTCTACCAGTCAACCATGAGCTAAGCAGGGAAATTAAGCAGGTACCATAAAATATGAGGATAATTTATACGTGAATGTAAATATAAAAATACACATACCATAAGTGTAAATACAAAAATAATTATACACAACTACAATTAACCTAAGTAATGTATGATTTATAGTGTATCATACATAGTGTATAAATAGTACATAATACATACATTTTAAGTATACTTACATACTAACATATTATACTAAAACAATTTAAATAATTTAAAATGTCAAGTCACATATAAGCGGAAACAATTAAATATGAAAGTTAGTTGCTGGAAGAAAAAAGGTATTGATCAGTCACCATCCTCTTAAAGGTAGCAACAGAAGTCGGTTATCTGATATGGGGGAGGGGGGGGGGGGGTAATTTATTTCATAGCCTTATGACCTCAGCGGCGAAAGACCGAGACATAAATTTGGTACGGCGAGGAAAAACACATAATGTAGTTCCCTCGGAGGATCGCAGGTTACGATCGTGAGAAGAACCCAAATACTGAAACTTGCATTTCAGGTATTGGGGGAGTGCATGGATCATATAGGATTGAAAAAAGCGTGCGAAGAATTTTGATACATCTACGCTGATGGATAGGGAGCCATTTAAGCTTAGAACGATATATGGGTACATGATCGTATTTACGAAGGCCAAAAATAAAACGGATGCAATTATTTAATAAAGGATCCAATTTGCACAAAAAATACTTGACTCACATCAGAGTAACACACATCAGCATAATCAATGAGTGATAAAACAAGCGCTCGCACCAACATAGCCTTAGTCTCGGTTGGAAGGAAATTCTTGAAACAATAAAGGCCACGCAGGGTGATTGTCACTCTCCGGCTTATTTCAGCCACCTGAGATTGCCAACTTAAATTAGTATTAATCATTAACCCAAGGTCTTTAACTACTTGACTAAGAGAAATAATTGTGCTATTATAAACGATAGGCTCCTGTGAATTAAAATCTAATTTAGCTATATGGCGAGGACTACCGAGAATTATCGCTTCACATTTAACAGGATTGACAGCAATTCCATAATTTCTGCACCAGTCACAGGTGGCCTCAAGATCTAGATTTAAAATTTCGATCGCGGAGTTAACCTCGGCTAGATCAATCCAAGCGTACAGCTGTAAATCGTCAGCATACAGATGGTAGGAGCATTTAAAATTTACAGTTATGAGATTTATAAAAATAGAAAATAATAAAGGAGAAAGAATTCCGCCTTGTGGAACGCCTGTAGTAAGATCAGACCAATCAGAGAAATACTGTTGGTTGACTTTAACTCTTTGCTGGCGACCACGAAGATAAGTTAATAACCAATCCAAAACTGAAGAAGAGAAACCCATGTATTTAAAGATAGCAAGAAGAATGTCATGATTAACTGTACAGAAAGCATTAGAGAAGTCAATTAATACGAGAACCGTTAATTTTGATTCCTCCATACCCTCTCGTATATCATCAAGAACTTTAAGGAGAGCAGTGGTTGTACTATGCCCAGGACGAAAACCTGATTGTAAGGGACTAAGAAGATTATTTTTATAAATGTAGCTAGGATAGCTGTTTGTATGCAGCTGATTCTAAAATCTTTGAAAGAAAGGAAAGTATAGAAATTGGTCGAAAATGGTTAACAAAACTGGGATTATTTAACTTGGCAAGTGGAAGAACAAATGCTTTATACCAAAAAGATGGAAAAACCCCAGTAGAAAAAGAAAAATTGATGATGTGGGTAATGATTGGGAGAATGTTTTCAAGTATGGGGATAATCATATTTCTACTCACATCATCATAGCCAGTTGCTTTAGATTTAATGGAAAAAATAATTTTACGAACATCTTCATCAGTTATTGGAGAAAAATCAAAGCAGTTTGCGTCAATTTTGGGAAGTGATGAGATAAGAGAAATAGTTCTATGTTTAATGGAATTATCGACGTTAGTTGCCGAGGAGAAGTGCTTATTAAGATCATTGAGAGATATTGACCCCATATCAGGGCAATTCTTTTGTCTACCTAACCCAAGGGAATTAAGAAACTTCCAAGTGCCGGCTGGCGAAGAGATTATAATATTCTTATTCAGGTCGAACCATCTGATTGCATCTGTTTCTGGTAACCTTATATACATTCCAATTGGCGTCACAGCGATTGTTTTTAAATCTTACAAAAGCTCGATAACGTTTTGCCGTTGCTTTGCGGATGTCAATGTCCATCAACGGTGCTGGGGGGCGCTTGACTTTAAAATTGCAAATCGGGGCTACTGCATCGTATAACTGAAGGGTAATATTAGTCAGTGTCTCTACCATATGATTTACATCTGATGTATAAAAAAATATCTGACCAATCTATTGAGGCGGCTTTCTGTTTCAACAACTCCACATCCAGAGTCGCAAAGCTACGCAGATGCAGAACAGGTGCGGTAACTTTTGGTGATTTGACTCTATAAGGTATATATCTTATAGGTAATGAATAGAAAATCATGGCGCGAGAAACCAGAGCCGGAAACTGCCCATGATTAACAACATGTTCAGTAGACGAAACGATTATCAAACCTAGCCATGAATCAGCAGTGTTAATATTAGAATGCGTGGGTACAAGCGGGAGAATAGAGAAATTTACTAAATTCATGATCATTCGTAGTTCTCTCGATCTAGAAGAGTTCTGCAAAAGGTCAGTATTGAAGTCGCCCATAATTATATGATGTGCGTACTCAGATGCGATATTCATGATAGCCGACTCAAGGTCATGAA